AGCCGGGTATGAATTACTCAGCACAGAGTTAACCAGCACCTGCTTGTAGTTAATTGGCATGTGTGTTAATTGCTGTGATAGTCATACTTGTGCGAGCGCGCGAGGGGGTGTAGGGCAGGAGAGAGGCAGGAGAAGCGCACCAGCGCTTCTCCGTGATGCTGAATTTCCCCTTTCCCGATCCTCGCCGAGGTTGCCGGGTGCCAAAGAGGGTGGGATGAGTTTTTGCCGATGCCGTTCGCTCGGGGCAGCGCCCATGATTTGCTTTACAGCAGGTTCGTAGGTTCCCCTTCGACACCCTCGGTCTCCGGCAGCCGAGATGCTCGGTGGTTGCGTGGAGATGGTCACCATGGCGATGGGTACCACTGGGGATGGCGGCATCCCTGGGGGAGGGAGGGCGCTGGGTCACGTTTTTGGGCGAGCCAGCCTGCCTTACAGGCCTGCGGAGATTCTCCAGTGTCTCGTAAGGGCTGGGCTTAACCCATCTGCCGGTGGTGGTGCGACTCGCTGGGGTGTCGTGGCTTGGGGGACATCGGCGCCTCATCCCAAATGGCATGGAAAGGTTCCGTGGGCGCTCGGATGCCGTGCGGGGTGGGTGCCTTCTCATCCCCTGTACGCCACGGGATGGCGTGAGCCTCGTTTCCTTGGAAAACCAGGCTGAGGAGAAAGAAGCTGCTGTCTCAGAAGGAAGGAAAGATGATTTAATGACCGGGGGTATTATCTTGAATAAAACCACTCGAGTTAAAAGTTATTTAGGAGTTTAACTCCTTTTCGAAGCCCTGCGCTCGGGGTGCTTGACCATATATAGGTTTAGATGCTTAGATTCCACCTGATCGCGGAAGAGGGTCATGGACGATCCTGATGCATGGAGGAGGGGAGCAATTAGGGAACCAGAGCGATTTGCTGGTGGAGGAAAGGCAGCTCCCGAGGCGGCCGGCTCAGTGCACGGTGTTTTTGGGTTGGGTCCGAGCGGCCAGGGGCTGTGCAGGAGGGAGGGCATCTCTCCAGGTTTCTTGCGCTTGCAGATGCTGAGCAGAAACTGGAGCCTGCGGTCGGACTTTGTGAAACAGCCACCTGGGCAGGAAACGTGAAAATACCTGGGGTTTAAAAATATGTCGGGAAAAAAAACCCAACCCCAACCTAAAAACAAATAAACCCACCCCAAAACCCCAACTCCAACACTGGGAGCATGAAGAGAAAAGGGAGGAGTTTAAAATCCCCTCCGTCGGATGAGGTTGGAGGGCAGCAAACGGTGCCGTGCTCTTTTCCATCCCTCCTTTTCCTCCCATCGCTCCTTTTCCTCCCATCTGAGGCCCACACTCGCCGTGGGGTGTTTTCCTTCCCGTGCAGGGGGAGAGGGATCAAGAGCATCACACTTCCAACCCCTTTTCTCCCCACGATGACAAGCCAAAAAAGTGCTTTAAAGTCACCTTTTTCCTGCGGGGAACTTTATCCGAGCAAACCCCGAGGCTGGGACGACGGTCCCCATCCAGCCGCGGTGCCGAGGACCCAGGAGTCGGGATTCAAGAGGAGGAAACGCAGTCTGGTGGTTGAAAAAGCTGATTTGTATCAAAACACCTGGGTTTTATTTGCGGCCCGGGGAGGGGAATGTGGTTTGAATGCCGCCGCTCCCAAGCGAGAAGCACCGGCTCGAGCGAAGCTCAAGGCAGGGATGAGCAGCGCTGGGATTTTCTCCCCATCCCTACAAACATCCCATCTCTCTTTCGAACGCCGTGGAGCTTTTGGCCGCGCTAGCATCCTGTGAAGAAGTCCCACAACCGAATTGCGTTAAAACATGCTTCCTTTCACTGGGTTTAAATTTACTGCCCGTTGTTCTCCAGTGTTTATTGTTGCTTCTGGAGAGTTCCTCTCTGGTTTGGACAGTAAATCCACTGTCTTTTCAGACGGTTGCTCTGTCCAAGAGCTGCAGCACAAGGAAGGAATTAGCGTCTTGCCCTGGGTCCGGATGCGGAGCTGGTGCTACTTCGCGCTGCTGCCGGCGGTTTCGAACATGGGGAAGGTGAATATTTTTCAGCCCTGTTAAAGAAATGGCAACTCCAAAGGGAAAAGCTGCAAAGCAAACTCGGCGGAAAGTTTCTCCTCTGGCAAATTTTCTCCGCCTGTGCGAAGTCCTCGCCTCGGACCCCGATGAAACAAAAATCCTCATTTTCGGCTCTTTCTATCATCGGCCTTTGAGGGATGCTTTCGTGGCAGCCCGGTGCCTTCTCACCGGTGCCAGCCGGAGCGGCGATGGTCCGGGACGGGCAATGTTCTGGGACAGGTGATGCTCTGGGACAGGCGATGCTCCAGGATGGGCAATGCTCGGGGACAGGCGATGCTCCGGGACAGGCAATGCTTGGGGACAGGCAATGCTCCGGGACAGGCGATGCTCTAGGACAGGCGGTTGTTCGGGACAGGCAATGCTTCAGGACAGGCGATGCTCTGGGACAGGCGATGCTCCAGGACAGGCGATGCTCTGGGACAGGCAATGCTTCGGGACAGGCAATGCTCCGGGACAGGCGATGCTCTGGGACAGGCAATGCTTCGGGACAGGCGATGCTCCAGGACAGGCGATGCTCCGGGACAGGCGATGCTCCAGGGCAGTCAATGCTTCAGGGCAGGTGGTGCTCCAGGACAGGCGACACTCCAGGACAGTCAATGCTCCAGGACAGGCAGTGCTCTGGGTCAGTCGATGCTCCAGGGCAGGCGATGCTCCGGGCCAGGCGGTGCTCTGGGCCAGGCGATGGTCTGGGACCAGTGGCGCTCCAGGACAGTCTGGTGCTCCAGGGCAGGCAGTGCTCTGGGACAGTAGATGCTCCACAGCAGGCGATGCTCCAGGCCAGGCGCTGCTCTGGGACAGGCGATGCCCCGGGACTGGTGATGCTTTTGGACTGGCCTTTTCGGGGCTGCCTGCAGAGGAATGGGGAGCAGCAGCCAAAGCGCATCCCCCAGGCACCGGCTCAGGATCCCACCCGGTGCCGGTGCTGCTCGCAGGGGGACGGTCCCTCCTCTTTGCTGCTGGGAGGGGAAACACTCACCAGTTTTGAGAAATAAGGATTCAAGCAGCAAATGCCATCACTGTATGGTTTGTCCTTGCAAAGAGTCTTCCTGGTGGGATTTATGAGGAAAAAATAGGGATTTTTGCTGCCCTTCATCTCTCTGGTCTCCTTCCTGTGCTCCCCATTCCTCGTGTTCCCTGGAGGGCAAATTATGGATGTTGGAGCAGGGGGGGGAAGGTCTCCCCATTCCCCTCTCCGCTGCTCGAACCAGCGCTGACACCCCACAGCACGACGCGCGATGAATAATTTTACTAAAAAAAAAAAAAAAAGAAAAAGAAAAAGCAGGGAAAAAGATTAAGTGACTCACACGACTCAATGAACCCCGAAAAAACAAGTGTGGGAGTGCGACCGTCAGGGCTTGTTTGTTGTCGGAGCGTGGTCTGATGCGGAGGCGAAGGACGGGGCCAAGGTCGCTGGAGGGGTTTCAGGGGGGGTCCGGGGGGGGCTCTGTGCTCTGGGGTGGGAGAGGAGCAGGAGGAGCTGGGTCAGGGCTGGCTGGGGGTGAATTTGGGGTGAGGAGAGGGGAGAAAAAGCTTTTTTTTTGTTGGTTTTTTGTTGTTGTTGTTGTTTTCTCCATGCTTTTTGTAACAAGAGGGAGGGCTGGGGGCTGCCAAGTCGAGGCAGATAGGAAGCTATTTTTGGGACCGGCTTTTCCCTCTGCCCGGGTATTGGCACGGGGCACCCTCGCCTTAAATGCAACGTTGTCGCTGCTTTTAATCTGGCCACAGAACCGGGAGAAAAACAGACCTGCGGAAAAATGAGCTGGATGGCTTTTCTCCCCCTTTGTACCACCCCCCATCGCCCCCGGGAGGAGCGATCCCCCCCGAGACGATCCGCGTACCCCCCAGGTGGATGGAAACACCTGGCGTGGGGCTGTTGTTGAGCGCAGTCGAAGCCCGGACTGTCTCAGCTTCCTTCGGAGTCCTTCCTCCCCTCGCCCAGAAAAATTAGGTTTCTGTGCCTGATTGTAGGGGCTTTTTTAAAGTAATCAAATAAAGACATTTTAAAATTCCAAATTGAAGATTAATGCAGAAATCGGAGACGGATTTAAATTGCCCGAGCTAATCACCAGCCACTCGACTGCTTATGACTTTATTAAGAGAAAAAAAAAGAAGAAGGAAAAAAAAAAAAAAAAAGTCTGGAGTGTCACGGAGGAATAATGATTCACGGGCTCCTTTGCTGCCGTCTCCTCCCCCTCGATGAGCAGCGCCGTGCCCGGCCCACACGTGTCCTGCGGCGCGGGCGGTTTTTGGGCTCCATCCATGGGGGTTTTTCGAGACCAGGTTGGATAGCTAAGAATTTTTTGGGTGCTGAGGGTGGTGAGACACTGGCCCAGGTTGCCCAGAGAGGTGGTGGATGCCCCATCCCCGGGAACATTCCAGGTCAGGTTGGACCAGGAGCAGCCTGATCTGGTTGGAGGTGTCCCTGCTCATGGACTAGATGGCCATGAAAGTCCCTTCCAACCCAAACCGGTCCATCATTCGATGATTCTAAACCACTTTGCAGCCCTCCTGGCCCCGGAGCTGAGCGGGAGGATGGAGCGGAGTCCTCCCCTGGGCTGGGGGGTGGGAGCCGTGGCGGCGGTGGGGACGGTGCCGGGAGGGTGCCGCGTCCTGGATGAGATTTGGGGACAGACGATCTCACTCCTGTCTCTCTCCTCCCGCAGGTTCCTGAGCAGCCGCTGACGGCTCAGCCCCGCTGGATCCGGCCACGCTGGAGGATACCATGAACTGAGCAAGGAGCGGCGCAAAAAACCCCCCCCCCCTTTTTTTTTTTAAATTTTGTTTTGTTTTGGATTTTTTTGTTTTGTTTTTCACCCGTAAAAGAAAAAAAAAAAAAGGTCCCTCCTTCCCCCCCTTGCTTTTTAATGAAAGCGTTTTAAAAGGGGGTTGTTTTTCCCCTCTCCTGAAACCGAAGTCGTGCCGGGTGCGGTGAAGATTTCCGGAGAAGATGGGGAGAAAAAAGATCCAGATCCAGCGGATCACGGACGAGCGCAATCGGCAGGTCGGTGTGCTTCCCCTTCGCCGCCCCGCTCCCTCCTCGCCCGCTCTCCCTCCGTCGGGTATTTCTCAAAATCCTCCTTCAAAACGACCCATTTCCATCCCGTTTTGGGCCAACCAGTGCTTTTTTTATTTTTTTTATTTTTTTTTTTTCTTACCCCCCAGTCCATAAAATAAGCAGATGGGCGAAACTCGGCACCGGGGGCCAGATTCAGGCGGATACCCAAAACCAGGCAAACGGCCCCGTTTTGCCGTGGCGGGGGGCCCCAGGCCCCCCCCCGGCATTGCTCCCCG